GTGGAGGGGAGTAGCTGGGTGGAGGATGGGCCTGTGATAGACAGAAGGAGGAAGCAGGTGGCAGGAAGAGCAAAGGAAAAGGAGAGAGAAGAGGATGAAGGGATGAATGCGTAACGATGGACAGAAGGAGGGAGGGCCGGTGGGAAATAAGGGAGATGGGGTGGAAGGAAGGGGTGGGAAAATAAGATGGTGAGAGAGGGATGGAGCAAGGTGAACAGGCAAGACTTGTAGGGAATGTGTGAACAGACAAGAGACAGAGGGCTGCAGGGGGACTGGGGCTGAAGGAGGGAGTGGTCTCCATCCCTGGGGAGCTGTCATGCTCCTGATTTTGGAAGGAATGGACGTTGGCTGCTCTCACTGAATTCTGTCCTCTTTCCTGAGAATAGGGTGTGTCACTCACTTATTTAGCTCCCACTGTTTGAAGTCTTTATTAAAATAGTTGTATAATTTTCTCCTTAAAGAGCTATCCTACCTTTTGTTAGATTTGGTCTTAGCCTATTTATTTGTCTAGGTTTTGATTTGTTTGAGACAGGGTCTCACTATGTACTCCAGGTTGGCCTTGAACTCGTGAGGATCCTTCTGTCTCAACCTCCCAAGTGTCGGGATTATAGGTGTGTACCACCACACCTGGCTTTAGCCTTTCTCTTTGTAAATTGTAATGTAAAATGACATTTCTCACTGATCTTTGCTGGTGGTAGACATCTGACTCTCTCCTGTAGAGTGTCCGGCTAAACTACGATATTTTTGATAACTGACCATTTTTTATAATAAAACATAACAAATCCACTGTAAACAATAGCAGTTCTACTGGCTCGTTCTAGTCCTTATTCCACACTGCAAAGGACAGCAGTTAGGGGCATAGATGCCAGAGAGTCACTGGCTGGACCTGGACCCTGGTTCTATCAGGTGCTCACCATGTGACCCAGCAGGTAATTGGCTTTGCTGTCCTTCTGTACCCTCATCTGTGACACAAGGATCATGTGGTGCTGGCCTCACACAGGTGGGGAAGGACCTCATGAACTAGCAAGTGTGCGGCCCTGGCAGAACATCTGGCCCACAGCAGCTTTTATTTTGGAGGCAAAGATGACTTCTAGAATGGTATAGAACAGCAGAGATGGTAACAAGCAGTCTCTTCTCATGAGGGAGCGTAACATCTACTGCAAAGAATGATGCTCATTTTATGAACAGAGGGCTAACACTGTGCTAAAAAGTCTCATGAGATAAACACTCGATTTTCCCTTTTAATTTGTTAATGTGTTGAGTTACATTCATTGCTTTTCTCATATTAAACAAACCAGGGGCGGGGATTTAGCTCAGTGGTTCCACCGCCTGCACCACAAGCACAAGGACCCAAGTTCTATCCCTGGTACTGAAAACAAACAAACAAACAAAAAACCAATAAACCTGGATGTGGTGGTCCATGCCTGTAATCCCAGCACTCTGCAGGCAGAGGCAGGAGGAGGCTGCCTGGGTAACTGGACTACATAATAAGACCAAAGGCCCCCACCACACTCTGAATTCCTAAACTAAGCCTTGATCAAACTTTTCATCGAAAGGAATGACAGAGGGAGGGCACTGTAGGTTTAACGTGATGGACCAGCAGAGGGAAGGAAGACAGCTGGATGGCAGCCAGGACTAGGGGACAAGGGATGGTGGCCAAGGGGGACTGGGGAGGTGATTTGACATTGGGAGCCATTCTACATAATTTTGGGGAAAAAATCATTTCACAGTTAAATTATGATTAGGGCTATATGAGGCCTAGTTTTGCCTGCAGGCCAGGTATGGTATGCAGAAACATAACTCAGTCACAGCTGAGGCCTCAATGGTCCCATGATGCTGTGACACTCAAGGGCAAGATTATATCACCTGAAGACATCCTGATTCTTTGAGAATCAAGTAGTAATAAAAAAAAGAGAAGGATTTCACCTGGGGAGGGACAAATTCCTCATCAGCTTAACTCATCCCACCTACTGTTGTAAGAAGTTTTGCTCATCTCACTGTCCTAACCAGCATAAGATCCTCATCATCATGGGATTGCTGCCACCCTCTGAGTCAGCTGATTCTCCCTATGAGCCCAATAAATAGCGGCAGGTTCGGAGTGTCTTTGTCTTTGTCCACTCTGAGGCACTGACCTCCCAGCCCCCCATATACCTTGAAATTACAAAAGTCTACTGTGTTTTTTTCTTTAGCCCTTGCCATCCCTCTTTCTACTGCCCTCAGGTAACCTGATGTTTGGAAAGAGGGTGGATTTGTGGAAGGTAGATGTTTGCAGGGGAAAGAGAAGCAGTCACAGGAATAATGTATGCTGGATTGGAGGGAAGGTGGGATGGATACAGGGACTATGCAGATTAGTGGGTGATGGATACGTGACTGCGGGTCAGATACGTGGCACAGGTGCCCAGAGTGTATTAAAGGTGGTCAGGGAAATGGGTGAATATATGAGAATATGATGGCTGCATGGCCCAAGTGGTCAGATGGGACAGGGATGTGTGCCAGGTGAACTGGATGGGTGAATAGGTGAGTTTGGAAACATATTGAAGAGTTGAGGCAGGTATGCAGCCGGTGCATCAATGTACTTTGAATGGGCAGGATGGCAAGGAGGTGAAGGTATCAATATACACTGGATAAGTACAACAGGTACATAATGGACATGTGAATATGTGCCGAGTGGACAGAGCAGGAGAGTAGGTGGTGGTGCAAATGTATGCCTAGGGTGGGACAAGTGGGCAAACAAACTTGTGGGTGTATGCTGGATGAATGGATCAGGTGGATAGCCTGACAGGTAGACAAATGACTTTGTGAGAATATGTTGGGTGGCCAGGGTCTGTACTGGGGGATGCAGTAATGTATGCCACATCATAGTCACGTACCTAGGTAAGTAGGCTGGACAGGCGGAGCAGGTAGGTATGGGTGCATGTTGGATGAGACAAGTGGATAAGTGAAAAGGGGGGTGTGGGATAAGTTGTATGCAGATCAATGGATGGCAGCTGGATAGACAGATTCATTAACACAATCAATCAATCCATCATCAATCAGTTTATCTTTATCCAGTGTCTTTGTGCAGCTGCTGCTCTCAGGAGGAAGAAGACAAGGGCTGGGGATTTAGCTCAGTGGTTTCGCCGCCTGCCTCGCAAGCACAAGGTCCCGAGTTCAATCCCCGGTACCAAAAAAAAAAAAAAAAATTCCAAGAAGGAAGAAAACAGTCTCTGTCCTCACAGACTTTACATTCTGGGGCGATGATACAGGAAATAAGTACAATTAGCAAGTAAAATGGCTGATGTGTTAAATGTGCTCAGAAGAAGCCCAAGGAGAGGGGAACACAGTATCAAGGAAGGCATGGTCTGGCTGTATTGCCAGGAAGACCTCAGGGAAGGGACACGTGAGTAAAGACTAAGAGCGACAGGTTTGGTCACAAGTTTATCTGGGGAGGGAGGTGCACAGGTGGGCTCAAAGCTGTAAGGAAGGCAGAGACCAGAGTGGGGAGCAGAATATGATAGATGTGGGGAGAAGATACTGGTCAGGAGCTGACTGGGAGGGAGGTTTGTAGGAGACTTTTGAAGTGAATTAAGAAATGGATGATCTGATAATTTTAATGTGGAGATTCTGGCTTCCATGTTAAGATCAGATTGAAGGGGAAGACAGAGCCTGGACAGGAGCAGAGATCAATTTATTAGCACAAATTAGAGATAAGGGTGGCTCTCCAGGCTGGAGTAGTGAAGGTGGAAAGACGGGCTCTATTTCTGGGTATATGTTGAAGGCAGAGCTCATGGGGTTTCCTGAAGTCAGGTTGGAGTGTGACAGAAAGAATGGGCCTGGAGATGGCTTCATGGGCTTCAGTTTGTTCAACGTAAAGTGCAGACGACCATGAGAGGAGCAAGTCTGGGGTGATCAGCAGTCCAGTTCTGAAGTAGCTAGAAAAGCCTTCCAGACATACTGCTAAACATTTTGAGCAGTTTCCATGAGTCTGGAGTCTGAGGACAAGGTCAAAGGGAGGAATATAAGACTGAAAGGTGTCAGCACAGATATGGTGTGTCTGAGACCTGGCAGGGCATG